GTGTATTTTGTATATATTGTAATTCCTCACATGCTCATTTATAATCGTCTTTTTTTCATCCCAGGACTTTTCTTCACTGGCGTTATGGCGATGCTTTCTTTCCATCCTATGTGCATCCTCGTGGGCATGTATATAGTGTATGTTTCTAATTTATACATTCGCAAGTCTGCGGGCGTCTATAATGTTTGGGTGTCTGATGCACATCTTTGGTACGTATATTTATGGGTCCAGTGCTTCATTTTATATAATGTTATCAGATGCTTATCAAGCTGATGTACAATGTATTGTACTCAGTCACATAGCTATCCCCCTGGTGGCATATACATGACGTAAACAATATATGCATAGCAGATCTATGTCCACTGTATTGATTATACTTAGAAAGAAAAAGTATGTTGACATTTAGGTGTCACAAACTTCGATAGTCGTAGCAGACGCATGTGCACGGCAACAGTTTCAGAAACCTGTTATATTCTTCTTCTAAGAACAAGCATAATGTCAGTGTTCTTTACGGAGCAGGACCATCTCGACACTACCAGTTTCTGGTACCTCTTATTCTCCCCTCGTGGGCATATAAAAGGTACCAGTTGTCTATGCATTGCCGCTTTTTGGATATAGAATTAGTTTTACATTTCTTTTGTTGTTTTTTTGTGACTGCTACATCGTGTAAGTGTCGTACACGTATAGGGATGCACGCAATGTCGATGCCAGATACCCACCTTTTCTTCCTTCCTTTCTGGTTATATACACATTATGCCAATTCGAAAGGGATTGTACAGTTGTGGTTTCAGATACTTGTCGTTACCCACTTTGACTGGATTTGAGTGTAATCGTCATTGAAGTATGTCGTCTGTATTTCTACCCGCATGTAAATAATGTACCTTCCAAGCACCTGCATATGAAGGGCCATGCATATAGCCTGAGCGTTAACTTTGTTCACTTATGCTTATGTTCACTGGTAGTTTCGAAGTCGTATCCTTACCTTATCCTTGTGCTGCTGTATAGACTGCAAGTATCCTGTTTTGTGGGAAAGCCTGTCGATGTTTATTGCGCCGGTAACGCTAGTCTGTCGGAAGACATATATAGTATACTTTATGCTATATGGTTTAGGCTCCTCATATTGTTACGAAGGCGTGATCAATCATCTGTAAAGGCTTTCGATGCACGCAGGGAACGTTTTCATGCGTAACGATGGTATAAGCGACTATCCGAGTTCAATCGTCACTGCTTCAAATAGTACAACGCTTGGGTTTAATGTATACTTCATTACATTCTGATCATGATATATACCTTGTAAACTGACCACACAACAAGCATACCACTATCTCGCATGTGATGCTGGATCAATTAGTCCGTTACATCCCTTTATATACTACGGTACTTCCTCACACACCACACTACGTTATCAAACGGCGGGTCATTCTGACTCCCCCCCCCCCCCCCCCCTACAAACGGACTGTGTATACAGATCAAGGGATTTGTACTGATATCCTGAGCATTCATTCCAGATATAGATGCCATTACATAATATACACACACTATCAGTCTGCTGTTTACTTATGCTAGCCTCATGTGTACCTTTCTGTCCTGCCAGGTTTATGTCGATGGTGACTGCTGTGATTGAAGCACCGTTGATCTATCGCATCTCAGAGTTCACACAGGGCCTGCATGCCAGGTTCGACGGCGTCAAATGCTGGCAGAAGGGGGTCTTCTATACCGCGTAAGTCATAGTGGGAGTTTTCATGCACTAGTTGGCCTTTCCGGGTATTCAATATTTGTGCATTGGTCTGATAGGGTCCAATTGTGGCAGCAGGGTGTCTTCTGTATTCTGTATCTTGTAAGTTGATGCCCATATAGTGTGTTCACCTAAGCGTATATCCAGTTTTATTTCTCAAACCCGCTCTTTACGAAGTATACAGTTGTTTGCTGTATGTAGCTTAAATGTTCTGGTGTTGTAGTGTATTGTTTTCTCTTTCTTACTCTGTACTATACTTTTAGTCGAAAACGCTGCAAGAAACAATCCGTTCACTTGAACTGAAATTAATACATGTGCGTTGCCTCATACATGATCAACGGATTCTCCACACCAGTATAATTGTACCGAACTATCAACGTACACGTGCTCTCACCTATTTCAGCTTGGTTGTCCGAGTATTCGTGTGCATAGAATAGACTTCACGACCACACTCTTTTACTTTTTTCAATCCGAAACCCTCGTGAGGTATATTGTATGTGCCATAAGTGTGTTGTATGTACTATGATATGTACAATTAGTGTGCTACAGTGACCATTTCCAGTACAACACTTGTGCCATATTGACTGTGCACTTGTATCCCTCCTCCATGCAGCTCGATTGTCCCGGTGTTCCTGTGTATCGAGTTCACCACCATCCTCTCCATCCTGTTCCTAACCGGAAACGCTGTGGGATACATCTTCTTAGCTATGAGTACTCGCAGACAAGGGCTGTCTGTGAGGTCCGATGGAGGCGAATCAGGCCTATCCACAACGACAGATGATCCATTGCTGACAAGTTAGAAAACGACTTGTAGCATCAACGGATATACGGAAGCACGGCGTGGTATTGGTCTGAATACTGATCAGTGCGTATTATACCAATATTAGAGTGCAGAATTAGTCAACCAGAGATGAATTAATGGGGAGTTACCTGGCTTGGCGATAAGGCTATGAATGGAGACCGCTATAAACTTGATTCACGCTAAAAATAACCTAGATTGCGATGTACTAATATCGAAAGGTTCTTCAGTGCAATGGATGAGATATAACCAGAGCAAGTGAGATGACTAGTACAAGACCTCCATCTATTTATGTCAGTAGGTCAGTTTCAGAAATAAAATAAATACATTGTCAATAGCAGAACATGCTTCAGTATGAAAAATAGAGATATTTCATTCGAGAATAGCAGAAAAGGCTTCAGTTTTAAAAATTCAATATACGGGAAAGTACCCTTACTAACCATCACGGAAAATATATCTGAACTGGTCAGATAATGTCCTATGATATTTTACCTAGAGCAAGATCTCAATGACATAATTGTACTGCTGTAGTGATCAATATCTTCTGATTCCATGCGTGAAGCCCTTGGATTTAACATTTTGTCCAAGCACGCGCGACCAGTGTGTATCTGTTTTAAAGCTACCGTTGCTTTGTTTCAGCCTTTATAAATGTATGTGAAATACATATACATATATATATACATATACATATATATACACATATAAATATAAATAAATACATACATACGTATGTACATATATATAAAATTATATAGCTATATATATATATGAATATACATTATATATATATATGAATATACATTATATATATATATATATTCTGAACATATATACACATGCATTCATATACTTATATATATATACATATATATGCATGCATGTATATATATATATAATGTGTATGCGTGTGTAAGTATGAATATGTATACACATGCAAACACACATATATGCATCTGTATACGTATTCATATATATATATAAGTATACATATATATGTATATATATATATATATATATATATATATATATTATTATATATATATATATATATATATATATATATATATATATATTATATATATATATATATATATATATATAGTACATATATATATATATATATATATATATATATAAATTAATAGACAAATTCTAACAAATACATGCTCAACTACTACATCCAGGTGCTGACCACCTTCCCGCTCGAAACACGCAATGCCATGTGGGCTGTCTACGGCAGCAGAGGACGTACCGGCGAAGACCCCATAGTGGACAATAAAGCAGGAAATGCGGACAGCAAAAGGGAAGATGAAGAAGAGAAGAAAAAGAACGAGTTTCACTCCTACCTGTTCTTGTCCACCGATGACAGTACCATGGTGTTACGCACCGACGAGGAGTTGGCCCAGGTAAAGCCCATAGGCTCTAGGGCGTCCAAGTGTTTCTGGTCATATGCAGTTCGGTACTAACATAGTACGCGTTGTGGGTCTAGGGTTGGGAGTGCGGCTGCTGTATGTAATCCGTAGGCGCTTCTGCTATGAGATGTCTGGTGTCTAGGCTGATTGAATGGGAGACCAACCGGGTGTACGTGACATGCACGGCTGTCTACTATCAGCGCTTATATGTCATGTTTATTTGGTTGAGAATGTGATTATATATATGTCATATTTATTTGGTTGTGAATTTGATTATATTGTCGAATTATAATAGGACCTACGCGCCTAGGAAGGTTTTTTCGTATTTTCTCTCAGCCAATTCACAATAATATGTACATGCTACATCAATTTTTCCCAACGCCTGCGCCCCATGGATGTATTTATACCTGTACACAGCGCCATTTATACTTATTCACACACACTATCACTTTACACACACACTATCACTTGTTACCATCTCTTCAGGTCAAAGCTGAACCGCATAGCTTCCACGCCGGTGTGCAAACCCTGCTAGTTGCCAATGTGGGGAGTCGCGGGTTCATCCTGCAGGTATGTTCACATACTGTATCCGTGTACTGTATATGTGCATATACGTACTGTATACGTGTACTGTATATGTGCATATACGTACTGTAAACGTGTCCTGGGTATGAGAGGCGTTTGCCTGTGGTAAATGATCCATACTTGACTGGTACTGCAAGTCTATCATTGGGCGTGGTGGTGTTGTTCTACGGACCCCCTGGGCGTTAGTCCTTGTTCAATGGCCTCGTATTCCTCAGTGTTCACTCATGTATATCCCGTCATTTGGCGCGGCATGCTAAACCCCAAACCCCAAACCCTAAACCCCAAACCCTAAACCCTAGCCCTAAATTCTGAACCCGTTCTCATCTGCAGGTCCATCCGCAAGGACTGGTGCTGCTGCGAGACCTGGACGAGTTACAGGACATAACTCTCAGCGACACTCTCACAGAACGGCACAGTCACGCCGCACCCACCGGCACACATGCAGACACAAACACACCTCTGCTCACAGACGCGCCTAAGGGTCCTAGCACCGGCACAGACCCACACAGCAACACAGAAGCAAGCACACACACGCATGGCGAGATAAGTATCATCTCCGCCGACATCGCCGATCCCTACGTGAGTGTCCTGTGCAGCGACGGGCAGGTGATTGTGTGGCTGTTTGACTCGGCCACGTGTTCGTTGGTGCGGACGGACCTGAATGTACCGAACTGCCCGCTTTCCGCTGTGTGTTTATATCGGGACGAGGATATGGTGTTATTTGCTGACTCGAGCTCGTCACAGAATACACGATCCTATACTTCGGCTGCAAACGGGGATAGCAGCGCGGTGAGAGAAGGTAGGTGTTTTTGTGGTTATAGGCAGAGTAAACGTACTTTTGTGTATTGACAATGCAGATATATGACGGTGTGTATATGGCACACATATAAACATATATATATATATATATATATATATAGT